ACGCCTTTCAGAGTACCGCTGAGCTTGCTCCAAGCCTGCGCGCCTACGTGCTCGATGCCCAAAATGCCGCCCTCGACCGTCATCATGTCTTCCGTGTCGCAGTCTCCGGCGGCTCTCTGCCCAAGACGCTTGCGCAAGCGCTTTTGAAGGAGACCAATGGCGAAGGCAAGATCCAATTCGATAAATGGGAAATTTTCTATGCCGACGAGCGCGCAGTGCCCCTCGACCATGAAGACAGCAACCACCGATTGGTCAAGGAGGAGCTTCTGGATAAGATACCGCAAGAGCTAGGCACGCCTAAGGTCTACCCAATCGATGTCAAGTATCTCGACGATGTACAAGAGCTGGCCGATCAGTACGAAAAGACGCTTGTCAGCGTTTTTGCTGCCCGCGACAGCGTAAAGCTACCATTGTTCGACCTGCTTCTACTGGGCTGCGGGCCCGATGGACACACCTGCAGCTTATTCCCAGGCTCTGACCTTCTCCGCGAAACCGAAGCCTGGGTCCTCCCCATTTCCGATTCGCCGAAGCCTCCGCCAAAACGCATCACCATCTCGCTCCCCGTTGCGCAACACGGATTGAAGATTGCCTTTGTGGCGACTGGTGGAGGAAAGAAGGACATTATGCGCCAGATATTTGATACCGATGAGGGACAGCAGTTGCCATGCGGTCTGGTGAACCACAAGGGCGGAGAGCGGGTAAGCTGGTTCGTTGACTACCCTGCCATCGAGGGTGTGTCTTTCCCAGCTCGCCGCGGCAGCTTGTGAGCAGCATGAGGTTTGCAAGTTATGCTTTCTCACTCTGTGCTACGTCGCTTGTAGCGGCAAAGGCGGGACCTCTTTGCAATTGCATGTGCGTGACCCCCCACTCAGAGTTGCATGCGGTTGTGCTTTCGCGTCAGGAAATCCATCATGTAGCTGGAATACCGCATCACGAAGTAAGCATTGTGTCAGACAGTCAGCTTAGGTACAATAGACTACGAACCATCTACGACATTCTTCATTTAGCCCCAAGCCCTCTGCTTCCATCGCATCGTCATACCTGAACAGCTATCGATAACAACCCCACGCCATTTTAGGCTTAGCGCTAGGTGCCCCGAGCTTTGGCCCCGTCAACATCCCCATGTTTCGTGTGTTTGCAACTTGCTCGACAACGAACACCAGCCCAGCTTATCCACGACGGTAACTTTACCTGCGTCAACATGAGTGCTAAGCCAGTCTCACAAATAGGAAGGATCAGTAATGCACCTCCGCGGTCCCGGGTAATTTCCAGTCTCGCCTTATGGCCTGGCAAAACCTAACAGACACCAGAATGCCGGTACTGACGCCTCGTTGCAGAGTGATGCAGAGGGTACGAAGCCTCGCAGCTTGCTTCCACAGCCAGGGCAGCACAGATACAACACTCGCTCAAGTATCCTTCCAGAGCCTTCTGAGCCTGAGGCCGAGGACACGAGCCCCAGCCCCAGCCCAAGTGATGCTCAGTCACCGCCAAAGTTTGCAACGTCAGCACAAGAGGACCAGGCTGCAGGTGCAGCGTCAGGACGACTTCGTCCACGAGCAGTGTATCAACATGGTACTCCTTCGTCTCAATCGGCTGGTCAGGGTGACAAGACAAGCTCCCGCTCTATACGTCCACCTACTTCAGTAAGCAAGCTTGCTGAGCCTCAAAAGGTCGGGCTAGGCCGGTCTCAATCATTACGGAAGCCAGTTGCTACGTCTCAGATAGGCCAGACCTCAGCACTGAGTGGCCACGCTCGTACACAGTCTACCAGTACTATATCGACCGGGAGACGGGATCTCGCCAAGGCAACTACCGGCACAGAGCGTCCCAAATCTATTTCCGCAGCACCAAGCCGTATTACAAGGGCCAGCAATACATCTGCAGATACAGTACCTAGCACTTCCAGAATATCGGCAAGAACCACAGGATTAGGACGCACGGCAAGTGTCAGGACTAAGTCCGATGCGCCAGCCGCTGTTGCCGGTAGTGGTGTGACATCCAAGTCTGAAGAACCTTCTACGATCCAGTCAAAGCGGAAAGAGGCCGCTGTAGAGGAGACTAAGAAAACCAGTCGGCCCGCTTTCAATACCCTTCAACAGCACTTTACACCCCGCAAGACCGGCAAAGCCCCGACTGCGTCATTCATCAACCCCGCTCCTCAGCCTGTATCCCATTCACTTCCTCTTGAGATATCCAGTCTGCAGTCCGACCTACTCCAACTTCATCTCTTACATCGGTCATCTGCGGACGTGAGTCAACGCTGGGAGCAGAGTGCAAGGCGCGTTTTGCACTCCAAGTTTGATGAGGTTGCTAGCTTGCATCAGGTCATGCTAGAAAGTGAACGGGCTTGTCAAGAGCAAAAGAACCTCCAGTCCTTACTTGAATGGAGTAATGACGGCTCGACGGCAGGTCTGGTCGAACATGTACAGATTCTCTCAGAACCTCTTCATGAACTTCCATCGCTGGTCGAGCCAGGCGGTCGTCTCCAGCGTCTTGTAGTAGATTTTGAGCAATGGATCTCGTGGGTGCAAGAGATACGATCTGCCCGGGGAGGTTATGCTGGTGGAAGCAATGCCTTTGGAACGATCGAAGGCCTCGGAGATTCATGGAAGGCAGAAACTGCAGCGCTGATCCGGAAGTTAACCGTATTCGCTAGTGATTTAGAGAGGCTGGCGTCACCGACATCCGGATCGAGCATTGCATCCATGGTCGACGCATGCACGACCATATTGCGCGGGATCTTAGATGAGCTGCAGATAATGCAGAAGATAGAGGCTGAAGTCGTTTCAAGGGAGAAGCTTTGGGTGGAAGACCGTCTTCGGACCATTGCACGGGACGTCGGCATGCATGCATCGGATAACGGAGGGGAGATGGCGGCTTGGAGAGATTGAGACTATGGACCGCCAAGGCCAGACGAAAAGCATCCATAGAGCTCTTCTTCACGTATATCCGAATATGCACAAATGTACCCTCTGCCCATCAAGCGGCTCCCGCGGCATGTTTGCTCAAGGAAGCTTAGTCATTGCTGCTGCGCTGTACTACCATGGCCAGACATGGTTATCCGTGGCACAGTCCAACATGCCTGTGGTACGCATCAAGCAGCAAGGATTTGGGCATAGCTAGCTGGACATTGCCAGTGTATTACCTCTGTCTCTGAGGTTGGAAAATTACCGACACGGTTATCTTTTGAGGAATGCGCAGGTGCAGCAAAGACCAGACGGCAACAACTTTCGGTTAGCTTCCGTAAATGGCATGACAAGACTTCGGGAGGCCTTGTTTGTTTAAGACTGACTAAGTAGCGCTAACCTCGTACAAGGTGGCACTCATCATTACCAACAATTATCCATCCATCTTACTCAGCACTCATCCCCACGCAACATCATCTCGTTGTTTGCTGTCATTGCCTTTGCTGGAATTTCACCACTTTCCGGACTCTGGTTGCGCCACTCGGCATGTTTTTGCCAAGGCCAGCGGATTCAAAGTGTTGCAGCGACCCCCCTTCCTCGTGACCAGCTCGCCCACCCAAGCACTTTTGTTATTTTAGTGGCCTCTTTTGCGCAGATTTGGCTTCTCCTGCTCGCAAGTTCTATGAGTACAACAAGGGTATGATACAGCAGCGGCGTTGACTGCTTGCTTACCGTACTGGCGGTGCACTTTGGGTACACTGACAGTTCACGGTAGTGGCCTTCGCTCCAGTTAGTCCGCCACACTGAATGTACTACTGCGTTTCCAATGTGCGTTACGTTCGATTATCTACATGTGTTTCCATTGTAGTGTTGGCGTCGTTCCGGAGTAGGCCCCATACCCAGACGGCTGCTAAGTTCATGCACAGCGCTCGTCGCCTTTCTCCAGGCCTATACGCACGCGTTTCACTTGTTATTAATAATCTCTCAGCCCTTGCAGGGCCCCGAGGAGACTTGTTATGTTCTCCAGAATTGATCACTACTAATACCTAAAAAGTAATTCGCAAGTTCGAATGGCGCAAGGCGGCGTCAGCATCCGCTCATAGAAGGTGAATACAAGGCCAGGTATATCCATGGAGTCTCGTGCGGGCGATAAACGACCATGGGAGAACGAAGAAAGCATTGGCATGCAACCAAAGCGTCGCAGCTCGATCCTAACTGCCTCCCTTGCCCAGCAGGTTTCCCCGCTCCCGCCACAAGCCGGCTTCTTTGCTCGCGACAGCCCTGCTCTAGACCGTCGGGTACTGCCACCGCTTCTGGCCTCTTCATACAATATTTCAGCTAGCCCTGTTACTATCGCCTCACAGTACTCGCCTCCACCGCCGCCACTCGAGTTGAGTAGATCTGAACGTGGATCTCATTTTCTCTTCGATGTTTTCGAACATCATCCAAGACAGAGTGCACACAAAAACCATACAGGTAACATTGTCTTTCTTTAATGGATGTAAATCGTGCCAGCACAGCTGGGGCACAGGTCATGATTACTATTGGTGTGGTACTCTTCATCCATCCGAAGAACGGAATTGCGACTCGCTCGTTCGTACTCGTAGCTAAAACGATTACAGAGCTCTCAACAATCCCTTCGCTGATTCCTGAACCGCGCGCCAAGCGGGTCGTAGATCCTGATCCTATTCCTCAGCAGGTGTCTGCACCAAAACCAGTAACTTGTTGTCCACCTGATTGTAGGGGCCAGGTATGCTCAAATTCACGCTCTTTGATGCACAAACTTGCTACAGACCTGGGCGAGTTAGTCCACAAACTCAATGATCTGACGCGTACAGAGCCACAAGTCTCGTCCCAGGTAAGCGGTCCAATACGCATTCACACTCGCTGATAAGTAACGTCAGCTTCTGTTGAAGACATGGCAATGCTGATGCGCTCTAATAGCCACCCACCTCCAGTCACACCAAGACCGAAGAGTTACTGCAATGGGCTCTCGATCGCGTGCATGAGGGTAGTGTTCGACTGCAGGAGCGCTTAGAGCAGGAACCGATACACAGCACTAGATCACAATCTCCACCCGAAGACTCACCAAATATGCGGAGAGCTCAGCATCATCTGGAGGAACGTGAGGAACAGTCTCCGCCGAGAAGACCGTACCCAGTCCACCATGATTATGGATATTTTACGCGTTCTAATGCCTCTCCAGAGGACTCCAGACGGAATCCTTATGGCATAGCGTCAACAGCTGTCGGAGGCTCGCCACAGCAAACAGCAGCATCCTCTGGAGCAATGTACATGCTTCCACAATCACCAACACAGGCTACACAGCCCATATATCCAACCATATTGCCTTCTCCATCGTCGCTGAACTTCTCAAGCTCTCAAAGTCTGTCGTCAATGACTCCGCCCATCACATCCACCCACGCTTCAGCACAAAATACTCTCTTGCAGGACTTGCAACATCAGGTTACTGTTAAAACGCTAGAATTCCGAACTCTCCAGCGCGAATACGACAGCCTTCTCCAGAAGCTCGAACGCCAGAAAACAAAATGCGTCACTTTTGAAAAGAAGTTTGAAGTCAGTGACTGCGAGATTAACAGTTTGACCGATGAAAAGGAAAAGCTACAAAGTCAAGTTGTAGCCATGGAAGGACAAGTCGAGGAGTTGCAGCAGAGCCGGGATGAAGCTCGACGCCAGTTGATTGCGAACGGAGCACAATACATGCGCATTATGGAAATGGCAAACCGCCTGCAGTCTCAGGGAGCGGATGACAAGAAAAAATGGGATGTAGAGAGGACGGAGTTGGAGCAGCGGATTCGCGTACTGGAAGAAGCCATGGTGACTGGTGAACAGCATCACATCACGCCCACACCCGGCTCGGAACACCATACGACCCCGAATTACTCCCCAGTGCCTGGTGAATCGACGCCCCAGAATAATGCCCCTTTGTCTTCGTCGCAAACCGAGACAATTAACGTTCTCCGAGCGGAAATCAATCGGCTTCGCTCGCGCACGCAGACGCTCGAAAGTACAGTCAGGACTATGCAGAGGGAAAGCATATCGATTCAGATGGCGGCACGGCAGCTTGTGGACTCGAGCGAGAGGGTGAAGGATGCAGCACGGGATATACTAGGTGATGGCGAGTGAGATTTGTCCAACAGCAGTTGATACCCAGGAAATCGAATTGCGGCGAGGGACTTTATTGGTACTTGGGTGATGTATATCTTCATGGAATATGGAATGGAAATTTTGGGCGTCTCATCTATCACGCACTTGACAAGTTGGTTTGTTGTGATGGAGTAGGAGTCTTGTCACAGGTTTCTACGTTGGAATACTCTGTAAATAAGTTGTCCGAAATAATTCACAGCAACATGAGTATTCTCATATATAATGAATCTTTGTCTAGATATGAACAGCACTGTTCACTCGAATCAATGCTCGTACATGAGCCATCAATGGTTCAGGTACCGGAAGAAGTATGTACCTCATCAAATCCGCTCATCAATATTACCAGTTATCTCCAAAGGAAAAACAAAAGCCCCAATCCAAAGAGCAAGAAGAAAGAAAATCTCCTTCAAATCCCAAACCCACCAAACCCCATCCAAACTACCCTTCATCCCTCAGTTCCCCCCACCCCCCCAATAATCACCCACTAGCGCCTTGGCACATATTTTCCGCAAAGAACCTCCACCACCACTCCACCCTACAACCCTACACCCTCCCCCGCCGCGCCACCCACTCGCATCTCTCTCCATCCTGTCGCCAAAATGCTCTCACGAGCCCTGACGCTCCCCCTCCGCCGCGCGCTCCCGATCCGCGCCCCGCTCCCAACCCGCCTCACCCAACGCACGCACATGCACACCCCAAGCTGCAACTGCCTGCGCCCAAGCCTCCTCGCACGCTCTTCGCGCCCCACAGCCAGCACCGGCAGCAGCAGTAGTAGCATTGGGTCTCTAGTTTCGCGATTCAACGGGTTGGGCATCAGCCCCAGTAATATGCTAGCGCAGGGCCAGACCCGCGGCATGAAGGTCCGGAGCTCGGTCAAGAAACTGTGCGAAGGGTGTAAGAGCGTGAGGCGCAAGAAGGGAAGATATGTGTATATTATTTGTTCCAAGAATCCGAAGCATAAGCAGAGGTGAGTTTTTTTGGGGGGGCTTGACGGGAAGAGAGAGGAAGAAGGCTAATGGTGGAGTAGGCAGGGATGAATGGGTGGATGATTGAGGATGCGGGAAGGGAAATGTGTACGATATACATGTGCTAGAAGCATTATGGGCGTTTTATTTTGGAAAATCTTTGAAAGAAGAAGGGGGGGGGGGTATTCGACAGAATATATGGAATATATGGAATTACTCGACTATTGCATGAGAAGAAGGGGGGAAGGGGGATTTGTGAGAAACGAAATAAAGGTTTTAAAATCTATCCCTTCTTGACAGAAAAAAAAACAAAGGTCCAACCTGTATCATTACTCCATACCACCCCCTCACCCCATACTCCCCCCACTCCTCTCCCCTCCAATAATTCCCGCCATCCTCAACAGCTCCCTATCCATTTCCACATCCCCCGTCCCCAAATTGATCCTCCTCCTTGCCTCAGCCTCCCGTTCCTGCCACGCCCACTCCTTCCTCTGCTGCTCCGCCACTTCATCCCCGCCACAGCCCCAAACCTCCAAGCATTCAATTTCAAATCGATCCTGCCAATCCTTCCCTCTCCTAGCCGGGAGTTTCGACGGAAGAAACGAGCCCCCGCCCTCAGCCAAATGTGTGAAAACTGCGAATTCGAGCGCGTCGTCGAGATGCAAGGATACGGGACCGGGGCGGAAGACGGAATGCGAAGAGTAAGATGATGAGGAGGCTGATTGAGCGGGGACGGGGGTCCCGAGGCCGATGCCTGCAGGTTGAGTTGGGGATTTGTTAAAATAGGTGTAATCTGTACTATACGACGACGCGGTAAAGACGTCGTGGGTAGGTGAGAGTTGGAAGAGTTGGGTGGTCGAGTCGCCGAAGCAAGACTTGCCGGTGTGCTTCCACTGCGAAGGAATGTATGCGCCGTAGATGAGGGTTTGGTTTGGTGAGCTGGGTGTAATGCTATCTGCGTGGCGCTTGGGTGGCAGCATATCTTGGAGTGCGCGTTCGCGGGTGCTGGAGGGGGTGGCGGGGAGGAGACGGCCTTTTACGAGGAGGATGGTGGGAGCGCGCCAGTTGAAGACTTGTTTTTCGAAGGAGCCCATGCTGAAGCCGTGGGTGTTGCCGCTGTAAAGGGGGCGGAGGCGTCGGAAGAGGTTGCTGCCCTTGATAAAGAAGGACAGTTGGCTTAAGGTGGTTAGATTCAGGATCTCACCTGGTTCACGAAGGACTGGTTCCAGTTCTGCTTTGGGCGGTGGGATAACGGGGTGTTTCTCTTGAGTTGGCGATGTGGAGCCTGGCTTGCGCTTGGAAAGGTCAAAGTCTTTTGCGAAAAGGAAGTGCTCGAATAGCGGATTGAGACCGTTGAAGAGGTAGGGCAGCGTTGTTGAGACGACAGCGTTGAAGACGCGATATGTGACTCCTGGATGGTCTTCAACACCAAAAGACGATAGTATAACATGTGCAGCGCGCCGAAGCTCTTCGACTTTGTCGTCTGATAGATTCGGTGCCAAGCTTGAGAGACTCTGCTGTGCATCTATCGGCGCAATGAGCAGCAATAGCTCCACTAGCTTCAAGAAGTTATCTGTCGGTATAATGGAGTGGTGGACGTTGGCGTGATCTCCTTGCTTGAATGCATCAATCGCGTCCATGGACTCGAGCGCAGCTAATACCAGCTCATCGTCCTCATCGTCCTCTCCCTCGTCCCCATCCTCGGGCGCATCGACCGCAAAGCCCATATTACTGCCACCCCGATTCCCTGTATCCTTTGCCATCTCTTTCTCTTTCTCTTCCACGCTCGACCGTATCCCTTTGTCATATATTGCTAAACTGCGATAAATCTCCCTCAACCAAATCTCTCTCCCTCGCTTCTTGACCACTGCCCCATATCGCTCTGTCAATATTGTGACAACCTTGAGCAGCGCCTCATGTGTCAGAATGGCGGGGGCCTGGCTCGGCAGCGGAAAGGCTCCAAGGTAACTCGCCATCTGAAAGACGACCGAGCCCACGCCCAGCGCGTCGGGAAGCTCCAAGAATCGGCATAGTGTGGTCTCGCTCCAGTAGTGCACCCCAGACTGCGTGTCAGCTAGCGAGCGGAATACAGAGTTGAAGCAGTAGAGCTCGAGGGGCGTGAAGCTTTTCTGTGCGAACCGCTCAGCAATGGCTTGGGAGAGCTGCTCTGGCTGGTGTTAGATTGGGGAGCGGAGAGTTTGGTGGATACATACCTAGCGTTAGCCGAGGCGCTTCGTGCGACTCTCCTTGACCCATGATAGCGCAGGTAAGGCGGTATTCAGCTGCAGTGTGTCTTGCATGATTCGTGAAGCTGCTGCCTCAACGTGGGTGTCTGACAAGCAATGACGGCATGTGGGTTATCTCCGGTAACGCCGAGGAAGAGGATTATTCCTTCCAAGCCTGTACGAGGCATTGGACAGTATGCAAGGGATATCTTCACTTGATCCAAGCATTACGTGCAATTTTGTGAAATATGAACATTTTATGTACATATCATTCAAGCTTGCGCTATGAGTTTAGAGGCGTGCTCCTACGTATACAAAGCCCAGAACACCACTCTATCCTACTTTGATTCCTTTCTGGCCATCTCGGTTTGCTCTCCAAACACCTTCGCCGCCCTCGAATCTTTCTAGTTTCCATATTTCTGCTCTATCCTTTGTCTCTTCGAGCGCCTCTTCGCCTGCTCTCCACGCCGCTTGTCGATGTGGCGCGGAGACAGCGATGATGATACTCTCCTCACCAATTGGGCATTCGCCTAGTTTGTGGATGATGGCGATCTTGGTACACGAGTGCTTGGCAAGTATAGATGTACCAATCCTGAACAAGGTCGAGATGGCGAGGGGCGCGTACGATGTATAGGACAATGACGAGACAGGCTGATCATTGAAGGAGTCGCGCGTTGTGCCTATGAAGAGCACAGTTGCACCTGCAGATGGAGAGCGGACAAAGCGCGTGGCGGAGAGAGAGTCGAGGTCGTGGGGAGTAAGCTCTACATGGATGTTGTCGGTAGTTTTGGTGACAGGCTCCGAGGGTATGTCAGGGGTGTAGGACTGGGATTCAGTGGTTGACATGTCGGCTCCTGCTAGTCTTGGCTATTGCTTGTATTTCTTTAAATAAAAACTCCGGGGGCTGCTCTGTGGGTGGAGGTGCGGCTGGCTAGCGTAGAGGTGTGATTTTCTGGTCAGATCATGTTAGTGCACCAGACCCACCTTGAAGATATGGGTATATCTCAACTGAACAGCTGAAGCGATAAAGTACCTGAATGTCTTGGAGACGCAGTCGAGAGCCAAAAGAAATAACTTTGCATGTGCTCTTCCAAGATAAGGATGCTATCAGCTGGACCCCGCCATAGCTGACCAACCGTGACGCCACATGGGATGCTTGGCCACTTACCGCTCCAGGACGTGTTGCGCGCGTGAATTCTCCGGATTACCGCAAGTCTGGGTGTGTGTGTATGCATGCATATACATGTAGCATGTACGTATGTATATGTATACACTACTACACCTGTGCCTGAGGCGCGTGTTCGCAGGAGATGGGACGGAAGCAATGTCGGAGATGCCGTCATAGCTCAGCGGGAGGGCTCGCTTAGTGCCGATCGGCGACCTGCATCGTCACATGTGGAGCACTAAGTCTCCGGCGTGGCCCCGTGGATAGCATGCTATGGGCCATGGCATAGCTTATTAGCTCCAACGGTCAGCCTCGCGTCAGATGACTACCGTGGCTAGTGCTTCACTTCGAGACTCTTGTTTGTCCAAAGGGGCTCGCTGCTTGATTCTGTCTCGACTTGATCGCCCCAGCCAGCCCTTGAACATTGGCGCCCGCTATATTGCTTTCCCCAACGCCACTCGCTACCACCCTGCCTCGACGCGCCGATTTACCCGGGTCCGTACTCGAGGCTACACTTCCGGTCGATGCTTCAGAACACGTTGCCCTCCTATACCACACGCTGACCTTCGCGCCGCACACGTTACATGGCGAGGGATGGTCTGGATTATAGCATAACACGTCACGCAACATGGGCGGGGATTGGGGGTATGGCACCGTATTCAACATCTTCATATGGGGCTATCTTGTAGGAGGACTGACCCTCTTGCCTGCTGTCCTTACAATTGCATGGTTCTGGTGTACTACGCCCGTTGATCACGACAGCCTCGATTCAGCCTCCACCCAGCATGGACAAACTTCACAACCCCGCACGACATCGAATGGGTCCGTGAGGAGCAAGAGAGGGGACGACAGAGACCCAGGGGCAGCGATAGACGATGAGATACTAGAGAAGCTAAAAGGAAGGACACATGAGCCGGATGTCTGCGCTGGCTACTTTGCTGTGTGTCGGGAGTATGTGCCGGGCGGCGTTAACGGCAAGCCTCCGGATCGAACCACTCCTGCAGGTACCGTCGTGGCGGTAGAGAGTCCCAGCGTCTACCAGTCCATGTACAGGAGCATCTTCGATCGCAATAAGACTACAAGCCCGACAATAGATGCGGCAAACAACAAGAACAAGAAGGCGCGGAATGTCTTCTATGTCGTCTTGCGGTATGTTGGCTGCACAAAACCGCACCTCCGAATTAAGGGCTGACTGAATACCAGCCTTGGGCACCTCATGCTCTACGACAATGAAGATCAAATCGAAGTCCGTCATGTCATTTCGCTAGCTCACTACCAGGTGGACATATACGGAGGTGGAGAGCACATACCTGAGGGCGAGCTTTGGATCAAGAGAAATTGTACGTTTTTGCACTCTCTTGTTGATCCTCACAGTACTTACGAAGCTAGGCATTCGACTGGTCCAACAACTGCACGATGACAGCACTGCAACTCCAAAGCAATTCTTTCTCTTCTCTGATAATTGCTCTGAGAAGGAAGACTTCTATCACGCGATGCTCCATGCTCAGGAAAACCAGAAAGACCCTTCTGACACGGATTGGCCGTCCGTTCCGCTAAAATTTGAAACGCCTGATCTTGTAAAGCTGGTACAACAACTGCACGCTTCGGAGGAGAACCTTCACACCCGCTGGATCAATGCCCTCATTGGCAGAGTGTTCTTAGCAATGTACAAGACCGCACAGATCAAAGAGTTCATCGCAGCGAAAATCAACAAGAAGATATCGCGCGTTCCCAAACCTGCTATCATCAGCAGTGTACAGTTGCGTAAAGTCGACATGGGCACCCTACCGCCTTTCATCACTAACCCAAAGCTCAAAGAGCTGACTGTTGATGGCGATCTCGTTGTAGAAGCTGATGTTAGTTACAAGGGCAACTTTTCTATCGAGGTATCAGCGACTGTGCGTATAGACCTGGGCACGCGCTTCAAGGCCCGCGAGGTGACACTCATCTTGGCTACGGTATTGAAGAGGCTTGATGGCCATATTCTCATCAGGATCAAGCCACCACCAAGCAACCGACTTTGGATGACCTTTGAGACTCCGCCCAAGATGGAGTTTTCTCTTGAGCCAATCGTCAGTTCACGCCAGATTACTTATGGTGTTGTCTTGAGGGCAATTGAAAGCCGGATACGGGAAGTTGTCAATGAAACTTTGGTACTTCCAAACTGGGACGATATGCCCTTCACAGACACGATAGCGCAAGTCATCAGAGGAGGCATCTGGGAAGATACTTGTAAAACTAAGGGTGAAGACGCGGATAAGGCCAGCCAAAAAGACGCCACGCTTGACGCTGCCATCTCTGATATGCAAAAACTTGACGAGAAGGGCGACTCTGCCAGCGCAAACTTCTCCATTTCATCCACTGCCGAATCAGAAGAAGTTGCGACTGGTATCTCTACCTCTGCAGATCATACGTCTTCTTCCTCATCGATAAGACCACGTACAATGCGGTCGACTTCTTCGATGGCGCAGGTGAAGGTCGATTCAGCGAATGCTTCCGCAGAGATAGCGCACGAACACGGGTCCACGCCAACCAGTGCTCGGTCCCTTCCTGTCACAACCCCTTTGCGTTCACCCATGCGACCTAGCAACTCGCGTCGAGCAACCCAATCTTCCGTCAGCTCCTCGGAAGATGCGTCAGCACCGTCAATATATGCAGAGAGTATAGCGTCTGCGCCAGTCTCAAATGCTGATTACGCTCACACCAGAGCCAAGTCCAGAGACCTGTCTGAGCAAGAAATTGCAGCTGCCGCAGCTGCTGCCGCAGGAGCAAGTAGTATGCAGACTAGGAAACAGACTCTTAATCAGTCTCTCAACTCAGCTACTGCAGCAGCAAGAAGTTGGCTGGCGGCGAAACAGAACAACAAAGCCGCGGCTAACAACAGACCGCCAACATCCGAAGGCCCAGCTCTGTCTGCAGAGGTACTACAAGAACCCAGGTTACAGGTTCCAACTTCGCCCTCGATTTCCAAATCACATACTGAACCTATGGGCAGAGGTCAGCCGCTTCCGCCGCCCGGAACCCCACTACCTCTACCCAAGAACGAGAAGAGACAAACTTGGGCCATTCCAGCAGCAGCAACCTCTACATTTGCAAACCTCACCAAACGGAAACCTGTCGCGGCCTCTCCCCCGCTCTCAAGCAAGAAATCAGTAGAGGATCTAGACAGCCCTCGGGGTTCCTTTACACCGACAACACTGCTACCTGCAGCACACTTTCCTGGTCAAGACGCGCGTCCCGCCGCAGAAGATGGCGAGGAAATGTTTCGTGAGATGAGACGTCGGACGAGTTCTGCAGCCAGTGAGCTAGCCACCGTGCCACCGCCTTTGCCAAAGAGAAGAGGGAGACAGCCTAGTGTGAACCAGAATGGACATAATTGGCGGTTAAGCCCGAAGGATGATGTACAGGGTGAGCCACTGTTTGTTGTCGAAGCTCCGGTCGCGGAGGGAAGTGCAGAGCCTAGTCCTGTGAGGGGGGGTATGGAAGGCGAGAAGATGTTTGGGGGCGTGGCTCACAAGGCTGAGAAGGTGTAATGTAGTGGTAACAACAACAGCGATAGCGGTTGTGTTAATGATATATCAAAACGACGGCGCTATTGGATAACTGGAATTGTCTTGTTTTTTGTCTTTGTCTGGGTGGGTTCTATGCTGTTTATATGTTACCACCAGCGTATCGCTGGCCATAGCAATCCAAATATCCTAGTACCGCTGGTACATTCTTCATCTTCACACCGTGTAACCATCAACACCAACAACCACTGACTCGCTCCTCCATGCCATTCCTCTCTTCACCCATTCTAATGGAAACCAAAGTACCCACATCCCATCCCCATCACCGATTTAAAGAAAAAGCCCCCTCACCCCACCGTATGTACCACTGACTTACGCACGCCGCCCCCCCATTCCACCGCATAACCACCCGCACGCCCCTAACATCCAAAACGGACAATGCAACTCCCCTACAATCAACACCTTTTCCCACAACCTACCCTTCTCGGCAATTCTCCTCCCCTACCTCAGCGGTAAAAGAAAAAAAGGCGAAAAAAAGGTCCATGCGGTGATTCGCGATTGCCGTTACGAGCCGCCGTATCGATGCAAGTGGGGAGAGGGGGGGGGATGGATGTCACAAAGCCATGCATAGTGTAATGTACGTATGTACCTATGCGGTGGAAAATGTGGGGCTAGCTGGGAGAAGGTTACGCCCTGGACTGGGGATTTGTACCGGTATGGGTCAAGTGTACGGCATGCATGGCGCGGGTCTTCTTTTTTTCTCTCTTTGCCCTTGGAGAAGATGGGAATGAGGATGGTAGTCCGTTTGGAGGTGTGGGGTTGGGAGACTACCGTACCATTGTCTGTTTTGGGACTAGTGTGGGTACGCGAGTTTTTGTGGCGTGGCTGGGCGTGGCTTGAGGCCCGGTGGAGCGGCCGTGGGTACGGGGGTTGTGGGTTTTGTTTGTCTTTTTTGGGGTGTCACGAAGGGCTGTATGTAATGTGCGTATAGGACGGAGATGGGGTCATGGGGAGGGTTGGATGTTTGCTATACTTGTGTATAAGTGTGATTTGGGTGTGTGGTTCAATGGTGGATGGGTTGCGCCAATGTTGTGGCTTGTACGACATGTGCTTGTTGCGTGTAAGTACATGACATTGCCTTGTTTAGGCTATAGACTCTGCATTGTTAGCAAGATGCATAATAGTTCCGGCACTAGCGCCAATGCAAACGGTGCGGCTGAATGTACATATCGTATGTACTTGGGTCTTGTGATGAGCGCATTTCCTTGGTATGGGTTCGGGTGCAAGAATGCTGTCAGAGCCTAGCTTCCTCCTTCCCCTCTTTGGGGCCTATTGGACCAAGACAAGCCATCTTAGTCATATCTGGCTTAGCATTGAATATATAAGCTCAACGAACATTATGTGTCTGTTCATCTATAGTGAATACAGACTATTTGACTATTCCTTCTCTTGCTGCATTTACTTTGTGTCTTCATCTACCCTTACGCCTGACATTGGTATCTTCTTAGGCTACTAGAAAACTAGTTTAGGGCCCCATTCAGTATAATATGTATCCTTAATTCTACTTAGTTCCCCCTCTCATAGTTGTGAAAAATGCCTTATAATGTGTAACTCAAACATAAGAAGGACTCTACATACAACCGCTGAGCTAAGAAGGCGAATTGACAGAACCACTGCATCAGACGGGCTGATGAACAAGGCGCTAGAGAGTACCACAGTGCCCATAACAAGGTGCAGTATCGTGAGAAATGACGCTAGCCAAGAAAACACAATATACCATTTGACTCAGGAATTTGATCCCATTTAACCTTTGTTTGGTTTTTCCTGAAATCAAACTCACCTACAATAGCAGCAAAGAGTGACCTGTGTGGCACAACACGAAGTTTCAATCTAACTGCATAAGCGCCCAGGAGATGGGGTATGACTGAAACACCAGCCCAGCTGTCAAAGAATATGCGTTAGATACTAGACGTGATGCAAGAGGCTGTTAGAGCTCCTTGGGTGAGGAGCGGAACATACAGTGCAGGTAGCCACCAGGTACTTCCAGAGAACACGCAGACAGAATACACACAGAGCTGCCAAATGACATGAACTACGTTTCCGATTGCTGCTACCGCAATCATGTACTTTACAAGATAAATTTGTTGCTGGCATTTCGTGAACGCCTGTATGGCGTCCGGTATAGTTTTTAATATATCGACCGGGCTGCGATAATCGAAGGATCGGATAGGCGAGACAACAGGGGCTCCAAGAGATAGAAGAATTGCAAGGATGGGCTGCCGCAATGCCAGAAGGCCGACTTCGGTAATGTTGGATCCAACCATGCCAAGGATGGTGGGAAGAATGCCTAGCAACACCGATGCGGCTGCCATCTGGGCTTTTCCACTCTCGTCAATGTGGTTCAGCATGCACGACACCACGGTGTTGATACGGTGATTTGGCCAAAGATCAGGCTCGCCAAGAAATGCTTGATACTCTGAGCTACAGTTGTCGCGCAGTATCTGAGAGAAATACGGAGCAAATTGCGGGAACCATTGCTGGAAGTTTCTAGGCATTGGATTGGGAGCCTTGTTGTTCGCTTAGAGTAGAAAAGATCTTGTAGATAGGCTGGCAAGACACAGACTTAGCTTTGTCTCACAAAGGAAAGTCCGCAGCTAAATGTATGCTAGCGAGGTGGATATGCCTTACAGATAGAGGGCAAGTGCTCAGCCAGAAATTGCATTGGTTGAGAACACATAGACAGGAGCAAATATCGATTTATATGTTTTCCACGAGTCATGCTTCTGCAGTGGCGAAGCACCAAGCTTTGCCGCCACCAGCTGAGAGTATGGCCGACCCGTTCCTGCCTTATACCATCTGCACTCGTATTTGGCGCCACCAATGACATTGAGGTGGCAAATGTTCTCTATGCCAACCACAACACGCTCCTAGCACTAACAGGGTTATTTTTTGGGTCTGCGATCTGGGTGGGAATCTCCAGAAATGTCGACAAAAGCTATGGTTGGTGCAGTTCTTCTTTTTCTAGGGATTCATGGGTCCGAAAAACGCCGAATGCCCCGGGCAAGATATGTTTGCAGACATGGTGTAGGATAGCACCACGTGACGTACCAGATCCATAATGCAAAATCCTCTGCCTTCAATGTTTTGCTCAAACCCATGGTAACCCAAATATGAATACACTAAATAAATTTCAAGACAGTCTCACAGCCAACAACGGGCACTTCCTCTGAAACTTGCCGTTTACTCACCGTATTCAGATGGTATAATGATGGCACCACATAGTAAATAAGATGACAAGAGTATCGTAAGGTTCAGATGAGTCACCTCAAAGACAAGAGTTGTATTTGAATTTGCATATTTTGTATATCTCGCAAAACGAGCTACATGTGTGGTTTAGCTGTAATTGAAAGGATACAAGTATCATATTATGGCCTACGTCGTGATGGTATTCTTAGCATATCGACATGGATCTGCCACATATAGCTGGTTGAATTCCTCGCAGATCTCAGCACTAAACTCACATTTCCTTCTTGGATAAACTCTGCACGACTGACGCGCGGATCGATGACGCAAAGAATGGGGTGTTTGTGACTAAGCGGGAGCACCAAGATGGCCGACTTCGGACTTAAAAGTGCAGGTTGCCCTCTCACTTCGACGAGCAATGTGACACTCCGTTGTCGCAACATTTCGAAAAATAGGACTTTACCTCGATCAAAGTACTGCGATTTCGGCATGTTTGGCTCTAAGCGCTACATGAGCCCAAGACTATAAAGACATCGACTCATCTCCCCTTAATCCCGGCACTAACCAAACCAACTACCGCCATTGACCCATTTGTATACCTGCTGCCTAGCATTCTTCGGTCCCATGATATAAACTCCACATTATTCACTAAATAAATATCGTCTTTCACAGCTCCATATAGCCAAAATGTCAGGACCATACCTTCATGGACACCATGCCTCTGTCCTCCGCTCTCACAGTTGGCGCACCGTGGAAAACTCCTGTCCTCATCTCTTGCCTTTTCTCAACAACCCCTCACTGAAGATACTCGATGTTGGGTGCGGCCCTGGTACCATCAGCGCTGATCTCGCTGCTCGAGTCCCACAAGGTTTCGTCTACGCAATCGATCCCTCCGCCGATGTTATTGAAAAGGCCCGAAAGCACGCAGAAGAAATGGGAATCAAAAACATACGCTTCGAAGTTGGTGACATTTTCGAATGGAACAAGCTCGAAGGTGTAGAAGAGCAAGGCTTTGATGTCGTACACGCGCATCAAGTGTTGCAGCATCTACAAGACCCGCTAGGCGCGATGAAGGAAATGAAACGTCTAGCCAAGACCGGCGGCATTCTTGCCATCCGGGACTGTAATTACGGTGCGATGGACTGGTATCCAGATCACCCTGTGCTGCACAAGTGGAAGGAGCTTTACATCAAGGTTGCGCTGGGACTCAAGGCGCACCCAAACATTGGCAAGCAACTGCATGCAATAGCGATGGAGGCTGGCTTCCCAAGAAGCGATATCGAGGCTAGTGTGGCTGCTTGGACATTTAGCACACCAGAAGAGAGGGAGTTTTGGTGCGGCCTCTGGGCTGACAGAACCGTGCAAAGCGACTACAAGAAGAGGGCGTTGGATAGCGGGCATGCGACGGAACAGGACCTGGAGGAGATCTCCGCGGCCTTCAGAGAGATGGAGAAGAAAGAAGATGGTTGGCTTGTTGTTATCAACGGACAGATCATCTGTCACGTTAGATAATTAATCTAGATCATCACAAGCCTGCGTCTGCTCTCAACAAGACGTCCGCCTTTACGCAGTGCCATCTGCTCGGTCCTTTTACATATCCCGACTCCACCCTAGTTACATGTATCCTCACCGGCTCGTCCCATTTCCCACGCCCCCACTCAACTACCCAATTGTAACTGCAAGCGCTCTTACCGCGTGGAATCATCTGACAGATAATGCACTAGCTTCCTAAGCCTGCCGTGGTTGCCTGGCCCTGCAGACGTTCGCTGCTATATCAACCCCACCTTACCCCTCCATCCTGAGCCATCAGCGCAAACCATCAATTCACAACCTTGCGAATACCGACCTTTCGTTTTACCAACCCACCGAACAAACCCATCTGAAATCAACATGCATTCCGTTACCGTTCTCGTCAACTCCAACCACACCAGCTGCCCCAAGTGCGGCGCCGGTATCAATGATGGCACCAAGTCCTGTGGATCTTGCGGCAGCGTATGTTCTTAGAAGAGGATAGAGTGCTACCTAATATCAGATCACCGCTAATAGTCGCAGTCTTGCCCTGTCTAGAGTAATGCCGACTCGTTTGCATAGTGAGGCGTAGTGAGCAAAGCTGGGCTGATTTACCCGGAGGTTATGCATAAGCGGCGTTAGTACCAGGTTGATTGGAACGCTCATGAATATGGCGAAATGCATGGATATGTGCGATTAGTGAGTTTTGGAATGCAAATATGCTATGATCGCACTACTCTTGCTTCCTTTGTGGTTCATTGAGACGAAATGGAAGTACTTCCGGTAACATTCCCACAGGCTGATGATGCATGTTGTGCATCATAGTCATATCTTCAAGTTCTTTGATGAAGGTTCACTTCCCTTGCGCCTTCTTCACATGCGCGTACGGCAGCCCAAGTACTGCAACCATTGTACACCTCTTTACATCGCATTCGCATATACGCTTTCATCCAACGACCAAATGCCCTCTGCCCGTCTCTATTTTCCCCACATAAGACTGTATCAAAACTCATGGCCTCGGGTATTCTCAAGTGTATATGAATACCATGGCATAACGTACGTGGGAACTGTGTGACTAACAGCCGACCGCCTTCATTCCAACTCATCAGCCTGACAATATCACGGAAATCACGAGAGAGAAAACATCAGTACAACAAATACACTGCGAGAGTAGAGACTCACTGCAATGACGGGAAACTGGAAGATACTGAAAAACATTATGATCATCTTTGGGTGTACATGATAGGCCGAGGGGTTGTTACTCAATTTGTTTGTTGCTAGTGTCACCTCAAGGATTGAACACAGGTTTGAGTTGATGGTGCACGAAACAAGTACTGAAATTCACATCTATGAATTCTTGTTCATTGCTTAGGTCTGAAGAAGGACAACATTCCATAAGACAACAGCCAGAAGGAAAATCTGGGCATCGCATACTGAGAAAATGCTGCCATTACAAAACTAGTTTCGAGATTGTCAACTCTACTTCGCAGCGGATATGGTGTTGTTAAACTGGGTGCGGGATTGAACACTGATTGCCCCAAGGTAAAACTTTCTCAAGTAAACATCCAATCAGTTTATGTGAGTTTGGAGGGCATATCTTACTGTTGGCTTCTTCTTTCTCAATAGCCCCTCCTCATCCTCAACCAAACCAGCAACGCACACACCAACATGACAATAGCGGTTAGGAACATAAATACGGAATCGGCTTTAGCTTCCTTGCAATGACCCTCATATACAGCTATTGCCTTCGACTCGTCTCCGTATTTGAAGCCATTCCAGCAGAATTTGTATTCACGACAACCGCCGTTCAACCACTCGTTATCAATCATCTTTTCCACGTTGCTGGGATCTTCGGCGCGCATTTTGCAGTCTACGCCTCGCAAATTAAAAGCATAGAGCTTTTGGGATAATCAGTAGGCTATTCTCGCATGTTCGATGTTGATCAGGGGATGCGAATGCTTACAACGCCACCAGCAAGGTTGATGAGTGCAATAACGCTGTCGATGACAAACCCAAACATACCACCCAGAGAGTCGAACCGTGTTGCAGCTAACCCTATGAATGCAGCTACAAAGGATAGGCCGCCGACAAATGCGCCATAGCCCAGGCCGGCAGGAAGACTGCCCCAGTGATGGCCGTGGATGAGCGTCACGCTCAGGCCGAGTATAATAATACCGAAGAGTGCCTGTACACCGCGCAACGCGACATTGAAAATTGAAGGTACCATATTTACTTGGAGGCCTATTCCGATACTCGGTTTGGAGGATATGAGGGGGTACTCGGCGAACGTGTTGCTTTAGTCGTCGTTTGATAGCGGGCGAGACCGAAGAGTCTATTCCCAACCACAGTGTTTGCAACGAAATTCGCAAAGACCAGAGTTTGGAAATGATGAAAGAAAACCAAAAGAAGATTTGAAAATCAAAGGCATGTTTTCACCTCAAGTATCCCCAAATCATCTCGTGATGGGCTATGTTACTCGCGATACCCCGTCTAGGGCGGTCCACCGCAAGGCTGTAACGTGTGGCAGATGTGCAATTTTCTCCCGTTACTGTGCAACTAGCCAGGCAAACACGGCGCTTAAGTCACACAGTATCGCCTCATAAACTGTCCATTACACTGCATTGAGTGGATATAGTATGAGACAATGATGTGGGAGGGCCGGTTGCCTGGCATAAATCACAAAGGAATACCCACATCTAACCGCTCTGAGCAAGTAATCGCTGGGTCGAACCGAGCCAGAGGAGCAATTTTCAACCCTGTGCATTGTTATGATTGGGCTTGCAAGGGTACGCAGTGGAAAAAACAACAAGGCTGCTTTTCCATCGGTCTGACACTAAGTTTAGTTCAAGAGGACAGGCACTGTGACATGATGCAGTACTGTATAGAGCGAAGCGCTACTTTCTTTAATCTGTCTGGTATACAAAACCGATGAAAAAAGTATGCTTTCCCTGGTTGGCACCAGAAGAGCGAGAAATCAATGTTCCGACCGCCACCTACTACATCTTTGTTATCAGAGCAGCTGCTACATCAGCCTCAAGATTGACCGACAAAAAATGTCTTGCCCAAAAAGCAATTCTAACTTGGTGATTTCTTCAGTAACATTGATGCTTGTTCCACAGTGTCTATGGTCATGCGCAAGGACTCAATCACTAGGGCGAAGTCACCCGTAGAAACGGCTTCCCTAATGGCAGGAAAAGTAACAGGCCTGTTTCCTGTGTCGATTCCTGGTGCAAACAAAAGATGCTGATAGAATGGCCTTCCAGGAAGTGCGTATTGATCGATGAACATCCGCCCAATATCGCGAGCGTTGCGATTCAGGGGTTTGAATGCATCTTCTGCCTTGAACGCCCTAGCCAGTACATAGACACCATGGAACCACATTGTCCGTTCGTCGAAATAGTCAATAGCACGTTGAAGCCGGTAGAATAGGTGTTGTGCCTTGGAACCCAGAGGCCATACAAGCTCCTTGATATCCGAAAGCCACTCATTCATCTCTATAGCAAAGTTGGTTATGTTAAGCGGCACAATAGCGTCGTCTACCAGGTGGAACAGCATCAAGCCCAGAAACTGTCCAATCGCCTTGTGCTTCGCAAATCCTGGATCGCCGAACTTAGTCATCCAGTGATAGCTATCAAAGTTGGAGTGGGTGTGATAGATTGGATCCAGGGGCGCTCGCGTAGTACCAATGTCCATGGCAGAAATTCCGCAGCGATGTACAAACGCTGTATAGTCGCTCTGTGCGCCCAGAAGGCCAATCTTGCCAGAATTTTCGTTCCAGACATCGTAGATTGTACGTTGTTCGCCATGGGGCCATATGACCTTTTTTGCAGCCTCAAGGATCAAGGCATGCAGGTCAGGAGAGGCACTGAAGTCAGGGATGGTACCAGAGACTCCAACATCGATGTTTAGGTAGGATACAACTGTGTCTTTGAGCCAGGGAGTGTACTCCTCAACCCACTCGGTACTGGAATATGTTACTCGTAAAGTTCTGACAACGGCTTCGTGATTCAAGAATCACAACTTACCTTCCCACCAACCCATACTCCTCCGCATCCCAACTGCAGAAAATAATCGTTCGTCTCGGCTTCCACCCAGTCTTCAAGAGCTTACCAATCACCTTGGCCAACTCAATCATAATCGCCGAACCAGAATGCGGATCCGCTGCTTCCTCATCAGCCAACTCTCCAAACACAAAATCAATAATACCCTTTGCTCAAACTCACCAGCACCCCCAACCGTCCAAGCATCATGATGATTCCCCACAATAACAACCTCGTCTGCCTCCGTACCATTCACAATGCCAATTGCATTGTGAATCCACTCAATACTCCCCTTCATCTCATTCCTCATCTCAAGCACCGCATCAGACGGCCCACTGAAATACCCACCATCACCCTCCTCTTTAACCCCGCGCCCCTTCAACGTCTCCAGCAAACCCTGCGCCTCCACCCACGACAAAGGCAAACTCGGTATCCCCGGAACATTCCCCTTTTCCGTCCTATTCACCCCCTCCTTGGACGCATACCCGGGCGTCGTCGGATCTCCGGGATACTTGCTTAGATCCAGCACGCTGCCGCGCTGTATACTCTGCGGGTTGCGCGCGGGCCCATCGGGATACGGTGCGTACTTTGGTGGTGCCATTTCCTTGTCGTCGGCGGGATCGGTGAAGAGGAGAAGGCCGGTGAGGTTGAAGGATTGCGCGTTGCGGACTTTGGTGCCGCGGAAGAGGCCGCCGTGCTTTGCGAGGCCGATTTTGCCAGCCAGGGAGATGTTTTGGGCGACGAGGCGCTTGAGGTCTTGGGTTGTGCCATAGCCTGATGGGGTGGGTTAGCTGGTTTGGGGACGTTGGGGGTTGGGGGTTGGAGATGGGATGGGTGGGGATGGGTGTACCGATGTAGACGTATGGCGCTGAGACATTGCCTGAGGCGGAGTATCCGTGGAATGCGGGGATCCGGTTAGAAGAGTTCGTTGTAGGGTCTTCTTCAAAGATAGGTTCTGAGAGAGAGAGGTTGTCGGTGCTTCCGTTGGGGTATTTTAGTGTGAGGGATTGGTTGATGGGGTAGTTTAGATAGACATCTTTGAGTTTGTGGTTAGTAGCTCGACATGCCCATTTTCTTTTCTTTTCTGTAGCAGGGAATGAAGGGATAAGAAGACATACGATAGCTGTCTAGTCTAGTGTCAAAACCATACTCGGTCCATTTCGAAGCTGTCCATTCGGGCACTTTGCGGCTTTCTCCCGTGAGATTTCGCCTGTGAGCTAGAATCTATCAGTATCTTTCGAATGTTTGTTGTATAGTTGGTATGAGAATTACAGTAATAGCTAGACCAAGATGCTATCGAGGTGTTGTCGAAAGATGATACTAGAGTTTGTTCCTGTGGGGTCAGATCTATTGGGGAGACGGGTGTCGTCCTACGATCGCCAGGACGCATCCTACTGGCGGGCCGCCATTGGATATCTCCTCTTGATCCTTGTACGATACTAGGTAGTAGCAGAGCTAAGATGAGGTACATCATTTTCGATTTGGAATGCGAGAGTGGTAACAAAGTCAAAAAAAGAACGGCTAGTTAGTTACTTAAGTAACAGATTGGCATACATAAATGATTAGATACGGGTGTGGTAAGGTGAACGAATGAGCTCAGATGATTTAATCTATGCGAAATTCAATCGCCCAGGGTCATAGAGAACCTCTCTACGTGGGCGAGATGTGACATCATGCAAAGTGGGATTCCGTTGCTGGTAACAGGCCAAGTTTGGTTGATTACAATCGTGGACCATAATCCATAGAGCAAGTATCATATCGAATCAATTTACACCTCACAACCAATCATTCACCATTCATTTGCGCCCGGCAAAAAAAAAGATCAACACCTAAGCGCTCACCTCAACCGTAGCCACCTCAACAGCATCTTTCACCCCACCCTCAACAACAGCCAGCTTCCTCGGCGCCCCATACACATCATCCTTACCCTCCTCCATCCCCCCCAACAACAACGACCTTGGCGCAGCCGCCTGATCAGCTGGCGACCCCAAGAATGCCAAAAACTTCTCGTCATGCCACTGCCGCGAAGTAACATACCTCCCCTCACTATCCTGAAACATAGTCTCATCCTCAGCCCGCAGAAAGTACGCAACAGAATACCTATGCTCACTATAGTCATATGGCACAACGCGGTGAATACACGATTGGAACGTGTGACCGCTGGCGAAGCGCAGGGAGTCGCCTACGTTGATGATAGCCTGGCCCTGTTTGGGCTCTACAAAGCCGAATTCCTTGGTACCGGGTGGTCGGATTTGGAGACCCCACTGCTCGGTGAAGAGGACGGTGAGGGAACTGATGTCAGTATGTTTTTGGTGGCCGACATTCCCGTCTTTGGAGGGATTGGACGGGATGTAGTGCATCATAGCCAGAGTGCTAGTCGAGGGACGGTGGTTGCGGTGCGAGTTTTCGAAGCGTGATGAGCCTGTGAGACCGAACGCGGTGGAGAGGGCGGCCAAGATGACTTTTCCGATGATGTTGCTACCGGAGATGGAGTTCTCGAGGGTTTTCAGGTCGGTGCTGTTTTTGATGTTGCGTGGAATGTGAGGGGATTCGCGTTGGATCTCGTCGCGAGAGACTTTGACCATTTCGTAGCCGTCGCGTGTGTCTTCGAGGACGCCGTTGCGGGAGCCGATGGGCTCATAGCTTGTTTTGATTAGTAACTGCGGGGGTGTATAGAGAGGTGATTTGTTTATGGACTTACCCGAGATGGGGGGAGATAAGTCCATACTCGTTCTTCACTTCAATCGGAGCTTCGAAGAACCTGTGCATGAGCTTCAAAAGCTCCTGGTGGTCATCAAGGAATCGGCGTCCGTCAACGTTGTTCAGGTCCAAGTAGAAGAAGCCTTCTTCTTTGCAGCACTTAAGAAGCTTTTCCAGCTCCGCAGGCTCCTGAGATAAGAGCGCAGAGAAGTCGATAGTCTCCATGGGGTAGACTGGGACTTGCTTCCCATTCCACTCGACCTTGCGATAGATGTCGTTTGATGGAGCCATAGTTTTGTTGAATCTCAGAGAAGCTTGTGTAATGATTTTGCTAAGAGTTTTCTTTTGAAAGAAGCTGTTACATACAATAGTCTCTAGCTTGTTTCCTTGCATGAGGGCATGAATTTATATTCAAATCGACTTTACGCTGGAAAGCCATGGTGGAGGATCTTCTCCTCAGTGACTTGTTGATTAAGCACTCTTACAATGAAACTCGGCATTCATTTTCTTTAGACATATCGATTAGACCTAGATTAAGCAATGTCACTCTTGCTTCTGGGTCTACACGACAGAGTTGTATACCCCACATACTCTGCAGTTATCAAATATGCGATGCAGCCGGCACAGATTTCTCATGCATTCCAACTGGTACACATCTATTCACATTTTTTGGCTGACGACTTGGATCGCCATTGAGTTGATCAAGATGCTTTTGACCCCGCGCCATAATGTGCTTCCTATGCCTCACGCAATTGTGTTGAGCCGAATCAAGTGGCTGCCTCCTGCATATCATTTATCCGTCGTATGGGTAAAGAAGATTGGTGCTCTGTTATGAGAAATCACAGCGTACATTATATACAATCGGTAGCTGGGAAGTAACTGCCGTTGCTAAGGCCGGAATGTGTGGGGCCTCCATGGTGGGGAGGCCAACGTGTGGGACGATTTACGACCGGCATCACATGTACGTGTTCTCACAACTTGGACGACGGACTATTTGGAAGACTCATTGTTGCTCGAATTGAAATACGTAAGAAATTTGTCTACATAGAATATTTTGTTACAGACACTTCCCACCATGCATAAGGTGTTTACAGCTTCATGCCCAGGACCTTGTGTACTCTCAAAGCTTGCCTGATGCTCAAGTCAAGCATAATCTCCTCACTGCCACCGGGAATAGCATACGCCCTGACATCTCTGTATAACCTTTCGACCTTGGCGCCCTGTCCGCCTCTGCTATAACTCAAGCCACCAAAGATTTGACTTGCTTCCCTAGCACAGAACTCGAATGTGGTTGTGCTCTGGGCCTTCAAACTGGCGATAGCGCCTCCGAGCTTGAGCATAGCCTCCATATCGTCCATTTTCTCGCACTGGTAGATGAGGTTCTCCATCCAGTTGTAACTGGCCTCGATCTGACGAGCCATGTGCGCGAGCTTGAGACGGATGACGGGGTGGTCGATGAGGCGCTTGCCAAAGGTCTTGCGCTTATGTGCGTACTTCATGCTCTCTTCGTAGCATACACGAGAAAAACGGAGACATTGGATGATGATACCGATACGCTCGTGGTTAAAGTTCTGGACGATGATTAGTAGGCGTCTTAAGCCGATTCAGATGATTGACTTACCGTCATGACGACCTTGAAACCCTGGTTTTCCTTTCCGATGAGGTTCTCAACAGGAACCTTGACATCTTCAAAGGTGATGTAGGTGGTACCACTGCTCCACACACCCTGGCAATCCATCTTACGTGTAGAAACACCGCCTGCGCTGCGCTCAATCAAAAGGACTGAAATACCGTTCATGCCCTCACCGCCAGTGCGGACGGCGGTGGTAAAGTAGTCAGACCAGATACCATTTGTGATCCATTTCTTCTCGCCATTGACAATGTAGTGTTTGCCATCCTCAGAGAGCTTGGCTTCACAGGTCAGGTTCGCGACATCACTGCCAGCATCTGTTGAAATGTCAGTTCCAACTTTCTAGACATAAAAGGTTGGGACTTACCTGGCTCGGTGATTGCCAAACAAATCCTCTTCTTTCCGCTAAGCAGATCGGGACCAATGCGCTGGACAAGCTCTTTCTTGCCAAACTTGAACAGAGGCGGTCCGCCAATTCCGTATCCACCGATCAAGCCCCAGACGAGACCACCACTGCCTGTCCTTGATATTTCATCGGTGATGATCATCTCATGGAAGTGATCCCACTTCTCTGGTGGTACGCTCTTGACCCTCAGGTCGGTGTATTGTGTAGGATACTTGACGCCAAGCATACCGGCGAGGTATCCTCGTGCTCCCATTTCGAGGAAGATCTCATCTGGGACTTTTTTTGCTTCATCCCACTCGGTGACATATGGCATGAGCTTCTCCTCAACCCAGTCGCGGACTTCTGCGCGTAGGGCAGCGTGTGTCTCGTTGTAGTAGGGAGAGTGGTACTAGTCTTTGCGTTAGCCGAGGCTCATAGGAACTTTCAAAAGGCGTGTTCGTAGACATACAGTTTGGTACCACGAAGGGTCCGCATATGGGACGAGGTCGCCATAGGAATCGAAAGGCTCCGACTCCTCAGCAGCTTGAGTTGGCTGAGGTGCTACGACGCCAGGATTTGCCTCTGGCTTAACAATTTCCTTCTTCTCCGGAGCAGCGGCCGCGGGAGGAGCTGGAGGAGCAGCCTTGGTATCGAGTGATCCGACTAGCAGCTGCTTTTGGTACTTCTTCAGAATGCTCTCGTTGTGGTACTTCCAGAACTGCTTTGAGGCATCCTTGCCAGCTACTCGCTGGAGGACTTGCAATCGTTAGCTTAGACGGCGGGATTCGCAAGATAGGGCTTAGCATACTCTTCTTGCCGCCAGGGTGATCGTCCTGGAACTTGGTAAGATCGTAGACATCCTCGTCTACAATGATCCACAGGTCGTTCGCAGTCTTGTGCGACGCGACATCGGCGGTAGAGAAGCGCTTCGCCATTTTTGTCTAGAGTCAAAATACAAAGGGGGAGTAAGGCGAAGGGATGAAAAGCAAAACGAGGAAGGAAGAAGGATCACAAGACGACGATGGAGACACTTCCAAGCTTATAAGAGGATTAGCATGGTTTCGCGCTACTTTCACATGCTCGCAGTTACTCCACGCCAAGGAATCCGGGGAAACAGGCCATCAGCTGAAGGCCGACCGTGGATAGCGCGTTTGGGGCACCGCGACGGCTCTCGTGTGATCTTGTGAGTGGATTTACGGGCGCTGCCATTGGTGGAGCTGAGCCATGAGCGGCTGACTTGCTGGTTGAGGGCAGACGTCATTCACCAAGATACCGAGGTATGCCGCATTGGGAAGGCTCACGTGGGGCGGCTCAATTGTTGTTCCATGCAGGACAAGGGTCCGCAGCGCCGAGGGCATCACATGTCAGGACAATGGTGACGTTCAGGTTCTGATGGTCCGATGCTCCCTGACAGAACGCGTCGCGGCTGTGTGTGTATGCACACGTTGTAGCTATGCCATTTCGACCATTGTGTGGGCGTGGGATCTCCGCATCAATTTCCCTTCTAGTCTGGCGACCGTGTCTATCGCAGAACTGAAATGGCCGGACACCAAACCACCATCAGAAGTGGTGAAAATTCTAATAAGAAATTAGCCCTTTCCTTTGTCCGAGGTGTCCGGCTATCTCTGTTTGGTGGGAGCGCCATCGGTATTCTGACCAGCTATACCCGACCAACGGGTGTGATATGATCCAAATTCGCAATATTCCAGCTGCCATCGGTAACAACGGTGATTCAGGTCATCTCTGTATCGGCCTACTGGCCTCCCGAAAGATAAGAGTACATACATATATACTATGAGCTTGAGCGCCGAATTATCCTCCGCGAGCCTAATAAACGAACAAAATAAACAACGCCAAATGTACTCGATGAGCGCTACTCATATGAGCAATAGTTGCACAAAGGTATAGCGCGTATTCCACAAACTGAACGATAACGTCAAGCGTGGGTTACTGCCTGATGGTTTCAGGCTGATGCTGCGGAACATGCAAAGGTCAACATGAGCTATGATAACGTGTAATGTATCTTCGAGTGGCAGACGTGCTGCGTATGACAACTAGCTTCAGGGTTGGAAGCATCGCGTGGATAAATAATCTATGAAGCTGGAAATGCTGTTAAAAGTTTCACTAGATGATATTCGCAGTGATAGTGCTGTTGTATGGGTCATCTTCATGCCTGGAGCGTCTGTTCCGTTCACAGCGTCTCTGAGGCCCGATTGCAACCCAGCTGATGGCCTTACATCACAAAGGATGCAGCCAGCAAGAAACGGTGTAAGCATTTAAATGTATGAATGCATGAAGCGTTTGATATTAGTCAGCCATGCAGTCTTCGTTGTATCAGTCCTCGGAGTGATCAAACTCTATATTTGAACTCAATTGATCCAACCCCTCCTATGAACCTCACTATGATTGGCTTACGGTATAGTTGCGCTCTATCCTTACATCGGCCATTCTCTGGCTTATAGTCATTCAGGGTTTTCTTTCCTGTCAGTGTTGCTTCGTTGGGGAGACACTCGAACTGGACAGTCTAATAGTGCCGCAGCCTTTGCAAGGCCTTGAAGGGAATGGATTCGGGTCAGCCAAGGCAGTAGCCTACTACAATAATAAAGCCCTATCACCTTAACAAGAATAAGCCATAAAGACTTACTATCCATATCAGACAAGTCCAGCTTCAGTCCAATGTTTACGCGTTAATTTACAGAGGTGCTTTTCAAGTCTACCTGCCAACAGAAGTTGTCTTGATTACTACTAAAGCCCTACTGAGGCTTAGACAGATGCATCCTACCCAGCGTCTTTATACTTATTGCCACGGTGAAGTCCAGTTAATTCTTGAATGCGGAATGCTGACATAGAGAGAATTCCATACCGAGTTCTTTTTACACATTAGCACTTCGGTATTAGGACTTTGCACAATTCATCTAATACGCAAGAACATTTATGTCCAATCATTTCCGTATGGACCGTATCGCGCGTATACTTTGGTTTCCCCTGAGGGGCGGAATCCGTGCGCTCCGATTGGCGCACCCGATCGATGCTCCTAGTTCGTATGCGGCAACACCCGAATTCAGAGGTCCATGTTGTCAACAAACATTGAATTTCTCCCTCCGCCCTTTTATGCCATTGGCTCCCCACACCGCCTCGTTGGCTGTAATGCATGCTCTGTGACGAAGCACAATTCTTCTTTTCTTTCTCTCTTACATATTTTGAAGTTTGCATTAACTCTTTTACCCTCGTCGAAGTTTGCAAGCGCCCCTGAAACCACACACCGCCACCGTCACCCGCACAGCAATCATGTCAATGCGAGTGACGCGGTCCCAGGCGGGCAAGACCCCGGTGTAAGTCGACATATAGATGCACAAAAAAGTTGACTGCTGACACACACGGCACAGCAAGCCCGAACGTCCGGGTTTTGTTGAGACTCCAGGGCGCAGGAGGTCACAAAGGCGCAAATCCGCCGTGACCGATGCCGATACATATGAATCGACTCCAGAACCTGAGGAAGCCTTCGCAAAGTCTCTGTCATCCACCGACAGCACCATGCCCCTCAAAACAGACCAAACTAATGGCCATGCCAACGGGAATGGGATTGCCAATGGGCACGCCAATGGAAACGGAACGACCAATGGACACGTCAATGAACACGCAAATGGACACAGCAAGCAAGAAAAGGTCGAATTGGACTTTGCCTTCGAGGCTAAAAAATTCTTTGGCCCCAAGGACTCTTCTGGCCTGAGCGAATTTGGAGGTGCAATCGGAATGGGCAGTATGATGATCTGCTTTCCTGCGCTCATGTACTATATGTGGATTGGAGCCGCTTTCTACGACGGCAAGTTCCCTACGCGCACCCAGGGCCAGAGTTGGTCAGACTTCTTTGGTCACATGTGGTACCTCATCAAGACGGAAGCCTACCCCAACAACAAGGCATGGCAAATCTACTGGTACTTCGGACTCATGCAAATGGCCTTTTATATGTTCATGCCGGGTGTCTACCGCAAGGGCAAGGCGCTTCCTCATCTGGGCGGGAAGCAGTTGGACTACTACTGCTCAGCAATGTGGTCCTTCTACTCCAGCATCGTCATCATGCTGGCTCTACACTTTGGCGGCTACTTCAAGCTTTATACCTTGGTTGACGAGTTTGGCCACATCATGAGCGTTGCCATCATATCCGGCTTCCTCTGCTCGACTATCGCATACGTCTCTGCTCGCGTCCGTGGCGCAACCGTCCGCATGACCGACAATTTCATTGTCGACTTTTTCCTCGGTTCTGAGCTCAACCCCCGTCTCTTCGGCATCTTGGACTTTAAGATGTTCCTCGAAGTCCGCATCCCGTGGTTCATACTCTTCTTCCTTTCCCTCGGCACGTGCTTGAAGCAGTACGAGCAGTACGGCTACGTTTCCCTCGAAGCCATATTCCTCCTATTCGCACACTACCTCTATGCCGGCGCCTGCGCAAAGGGCGAGCACCTCATTATCACAACCTGGGACATGTACTACGAGAAGCTTGGCTTCATGCTCATCTTCTGGAACATGGCTGGTGTGCCTTTGTCGTACTGCCACTGCACTCTCTACATTGCCTACCACCACCCCTCCGAATACGACCTTCCAACCTGGTTCACCGCTCTTCTGACTCTCGCCTACCTCTACGCCTACTACATCTGGGACACGACCAACTCGCAAAAGAACCAGTTCCGTCAGGAAGAGCGTGGTGTCGTTGAGGAGCGTACCACTTTCCCCTACTTCAAATACGGCCGCATCGAAAACCCCAAGACCATTCAAACTGCCCACGGAAACAAGATTCTGGCTGACGGTTGGTACGGAAAGGCACGCAAAATCCATTACACCTGCGACTTTTTCTTTGCCATTAGCTGGGGACTCATCACCGGTTTCAGCAGCCCGTTCCCCTGGTTCTACTCGGTCTTCTTTGCTGGCATGATTATTCACCGCGCAATGAGGGATATTGAGAAGTGCAGGGAGAAGTATGGCGAGGCATGGAAGGAGTACGAGAGACAGGTGCCTTATCTTTTCATCCCGGTAAGTTTATGTGTTCTCTTTGATACAAGAACCACTCGCTAACATTTTATTACAGTACGTCTTTTGAGTGCGCAACTAATCAGTTTTATCCGAAACTCCATCTATCTGTCCATGTACCGTTTCTGGCTCACGCCTCAGCTCACTCGGGATTAATCGCGTACATGATTTTAATGCATGCCATGTTTGTCGGACTTTGTGTGTGTGTACTATATTGGAGGGCTGTTTCGTCTCTAAGGGTAAGGATTCTGTGTATAAAAGACACTAGACGAGGATACGTTTTGTAAATGGTTGTAATGGAGGTAGTAATGCATATATGAAGTATAACACCGATAATGTTATTTGTTCACTAGCACGGGAGCTCTCGCATGGCAAGAAGAATGGAAAAAGACAAAATATTAATAGCAAGATCTATAGTAGAAAGTCGGCAAGAAAGGATGATTATCCCCTGCGTCTCGTGCTTGGGCTCTTGCCAGCCGCGCGACCGGTGGACACGGAGCGTGTTGCCTCTTTCTTCTCGCCTCCAGCGATAATAGGCTTCTCGAGCTTCTTGGACTGTGTCTTCTTGGACGCAGGCGCGTTCCAGTAGTACATGACCTGAAGGAAGAGGATAACATTGAGACAGAAACCAGCAATGAATCCGTAGAGGATAAGCGGATCGTCGACTTCCTGGATGGTAGTGAAGATGCGAGAGAGGGAGCCGAGGAGGTAGTTGATAACCTACATCACACACCACATTAGTCCCGACATTCAAACAAAGGGGAGGGGGAAGGTGTGATCCCTATCCAAAGAATAGAGGAGGAAAAAAAAAGGAGAAAACTCACAGCAAAAGCACTCAACTGTCCCGTACCGCCCTCACTCCACACGGTCAAAATCTGGGGCACCTTACTCGCAACCCCCAACACCCCGGCACTCGCCTGCAAAAGCGCCAACTTGTCCTCTCCCACCAAGTCCTCATTAAACAGCGCCGCCCCCGCCGCCATTAGCCCACCAACCCACGCCGCAATGCCCACACCCTTGCCACTATATTTCAACACCAGACTCGCAATGGCAATATTCTGCACCAGGATCAACGCCGTCTCGCCAAACGTGCTAAACGGGAACCCATGGCGCACGTTGTACGCGAGCGAAATAAGGTACGAGCTGGATTCGAGCAGGTACGAGAGAAACGAGAGGCCCTCTGCCGACTGCGAGTTAAGCAGTTTGACGAGTTGGGGGATTTTGACAATCGACGAGGCGCCGATGATGCCGATGCCGAGGCCCTTTGAGATGGCGAGTTTGACGCAGTCGGTCGCGGTTAGGTCGACGTTGTAGATGAGGGTTTGGTAGCACGAGGGGCCGAGGAGGGAGATGCCAATGTCTGCGATGGGTTGGGGCAGGGCGCGGGTTAGGGGTTGGAGCGTGGATTGGAGCGCTTCCATGGTGAAAGCGTGGGGGTGATGTTGTGTGTGCGTGTGTATGTATGTATGCGCCTGGCGGAAAAAAGGGGAGGGAGGGTTCGGAGGGAGGGTTTTGGTGGGTTGGCGGGAAGGACACTTTTCGGATGCCGATGTTAGAAACAGGGTCCAACAAAAGTGTCTTGTTCGAAGGATCCACTGACGCAACACTTGGCGTTCGCGTGCAGGGGGGGGGGGGGGGGATCGGACCATCATCTACGTACGCGATCTGTTCCCAAAAACATCAAGTAAATATTACACATAAATCGGATTGCACTTTTATGGTACAAATTTCCATGGCGCCATTTCCCCCGGGGAAATTGAATTCCTGTCATGATGATCCCCGTTCCACACAACTCCCTGGTCCCAATCAAGACGCGATACATGCGCCTCGTCCTAACCATGACACCTCTTCATACACTCATCGCGGCACACCAACTTCTGCCGAGAGAAGAGAATGCGGATATTTCGGAAATTCAATTCCTTCCGCTAATGCATGGTCACTCATAGAAAATCGTGCACCTTGGCCCCTCTTCATATTTGCTGGGGCATGCTGATAGCGTGTGGTGGAGGCACTGGCGCAACATCCCTTCGATCAGACAGGTCTCCCGTTTGAGACATCATGGGCTGTTGGTTCTGTATAATGACATTGTGCGGAGGTGGTGGTGTAGGAACAGGCGAGATACCGGCAGGTGGATGGTACCCTGTATCCGTAAGTCTACCAGACACCGGGTTGTAGACGCCCGTCCTGGATTGAAGCTCATAGTTTTCGTCCTCTTCCGAAGACGAGTAATCATAAGTGTCCATTTGGCGTTGACGTGCAACGTCCGCGGCGAAAGGATTGGTGGAAGGCAGTTGATTGGTGTACCTGTTGACCTTGGAGGATATGCCAGATGTCATGGTTTCGGTTCGGTAATTACTCGATGCGCCCGTGTCACTTCGGTTTACGCCATACTGAGATCCCGATTCCTGCCTTCTTCGCTGAGAATTATGAATTTGTTGGCGGAATACATTCCCTCCCACATCACCGTCTGGAGGAACCACAGTCGTGGCGGAATATCCCGATGCTTCTCCACGCTCTTCGTCTACCGGCTTGTTGATATCTCTTAACGCCTGCACATCGTCCTCCATCATCATTGGTGCGTGCGGTGGTGCGCGTGATGCTTTGCCCCAGGCACGAATGGGATATGCGCGTCCCTTGCGCCAGGTCTCAGAAACAGGAGGGAAGTATTGTCGGTACGAGCCCCATGCTACGAGTATGCCAAGCAGGGCGCCTGAAATGACGTCGAAGGGGTGGTGGCGGGCATCCATGATACGCGTTCCCGTAATGAGCGCAGCGCCGAGTGCGGGGACCATGACAATGAATGTTCTCCAAACTTCACCCTTTGCATCCAAAACGTGGAGTTTTCCGGCAAGGTAAATGGAGAGGTAGAACAGACCGGCAAAGGAAACTGGGAGGAATCAGTAAAATTGCCATGCACGAAACGCTGAGTAGCGTACCGCTGCTGTGTCCAGAGGGAAAGCTCTTGAAGCCATCTTGCAGAATGTAGTTGTCCGTTTGGGTGCAAATATCAATGGTCTGAAGGGCGTAGCGCTCTGTGTTAATCTTGGCTTGGTCCACAAGACACCTGTCGGCTGTCAGTCAACGCTCCTGGTGTGCCCGAGACCAACTAACCGGCTAATGAGATCCGGCCGCGGCTTTCCAATAGCATTCTTCAAAGCTCCAGTAATTGTAAAGGCAGCGCCGATACTTAGGCCCAGCCCAAGTATACCGCAGTTCAACTCCCACAATCTATCCTTGAACCTGTATCTTCCCGAAAGACGCTTGAGGCCGGCGCGATTGGCAGGCATAGCGGTCTGGTGCGAGAACAGACCATCGATGACCATGGTGTATATGGCAATGATGACGGCGGGGGCGAGGACGACGTAGACACATAGCCATATGACGGGCACGCGCTCTTTGGTGGCGAAGGGGTAGTGGAGGGTGTAGTTGTCGAGCGAGAAGTGCTGGTGGAAGGGAGGGATTTTGTCGACAACGGCAAAGGTGAGCACCAAAACGCTGTGGGAGTGATTAGCCTTGCTATTGAGCCGGGAAGGAAGGAGGTCGTGTGCGGCGGAAGGGGCGGCCCTACATGATTATGAGATAATCACCGATATACCTGCACTGGTCAGCACACAATACGCCTGGATGGTTGCCGGCTTTACGCACGAGAAAATGACTTTCTTGGATAGCCGCTTCTTGGAGAAGGGCAGGCGCTCAGGGAGCTGCTTGGACGTCCAGTCGTCCATGGCGCACTACAGAGCCCGGGCGGCCTTTGAGATGCAACAGTGCTAGGTCGTTTCCAGCCGCAGCCGCAATTGTGAGGCTCTGTTTGTGGGTATACACCACGCTGGTGGGCGGTGAGAGGTGCGGTCAAAGGCTAGGTAGGTAGGGGGGGAGACTTCGGAGGGTCGCTGACGAGGTGAGCCCAAACATGCGGCCCTCGCAGAGAGGCGCGTGGAAAGAGAAAAAGAAGGGAATGGGGGCAAGGCAGTGTAGGGTAAGACAGTATAAAACAACGGAAGAGATGGAAACAGAGTCGTATTTGCCCTTGGCTAGCACCGCCCCAAGAAGCTCAAAGGAGCATGTCTAAGAGGACAACCACGCCCTCCCTGGGTGCTTGCAGTGTGGCTGAGAAGCTGACGCGCTCCATCGCTTGGCTCTCCACAGCCTGGCCGCTAGCCGCCTCGAGATCAGCGTTTGGTTGAATGCAGCGACCGGAGCTTTTTGGGTATATTTAGTCGTGCCTCGGTGCGCTTGGGGTTGGGGAGGATGCATGCAGCAGCTGCTGCTTTTGGCCCGGCTCATCTGCTATACGCCCAGCAGGACAGCAGTGGTGGGCTCGCTGGCCGCCCTCACCCACACATGGTCGTAATAATAGGCGCAGGCGACTGCATGAGCCCCGTCTTGCTTGCATCCATCGCCCCAACTTAGCGCGCGTTGGCGATCGACTTATTTCGTCGCCGCCTCAGGGTCCGACCTGCGACTCTCTACTCGTACATCAATTCCTGCATCGCTGCCGCCGCCATGTTCTCCAGGTTCGCCAACGACAAGCAGCCGGCCCCCAAGGCTGCCGAGGTTGCAATCGCCAGAATCTCAAACATCTCGGCAACCCAGCTGTCCCGGTTCGAGCGCCTCCCAAAGATTCAGCGTTATGCCATCCTCGGCGCCGCCTCGGTCGGCGGCCTGTCACTTCTATGGGCATTGACTTCCTCCTCCTCAAAGCCTGCGAAAAGATTGCCTGTCCCCTCTCCCCGCCGTTCTTTGCTGCCCGACATCTCGCCTGAGCATGTTGCCGAACTGCCCTACCATCCCGCGGCTTTACCAGGTGCCCGGGACGTGGATTCGCCCTTTGGATCTATCCGCGTCTACGAATTCGGCCCCAGGGATGGTGAAAAAGTTCTCCTGGTCCACGGCATCTCGACCCCAAGTATCGCCCTGACCGATCTTGCACACAAATTGGTGGGCAGGGGACGACGTGTCATGCTCTTTGGTGGGTCCTTCTCTTGTTGTCATCGTCATCACTAGTCTTTGGACCATCCATCTTTGCCCATTGTCAACCCGACACGACAAGGAAACCGCGTATATGCGCGACCCAGCGCATGCACCTGTTCCCAGAACTCTTTTGGTCGCATAATGTATGGGCAGTACCCCGCGCCCACGCTGGATCGTCCTTTGCGCATGTGCTTTGCCTGTTTAGGCAAGGGTCCCGCCAGCCCTACCAAACGGTGAAGCACGTGCGCCGCACGTCCGATCCTGCATCCGATCTGCACAACGGCTTCAAGTCATATGTTATAGAGATGTCGGGGGCCTGAGGCAGAATGTCTTTGGAAGACTTGTTTAATCCCTTTGCATTCTGCCATTGTTTAGTCGCTATCGCATAACACACCAAAGCTAACCAATGGACCAGACCTCTTTGGCCGTGGATACTCGGATGGTCCTTCGCCTGAGACTACCAACTATGACGCCACCCTCTACACTACCCAAATCATGCTTGCCCTTCAGTCATCATCACTGCATTGGTCAAACTTTACCATAGTCGGCTACTCATTGGGTGGTGCTATTGCCGTCGACTTCACATCCTACTTCCCTCACCTGGTCAAGGGCCTTGTACTCGTCGCCCCAGGCGGTTTGATCCGCAAGTCCCATGCCTCAATTTCAAGCAAGATGCTGTACAACAGCTCGTGGATGCCCGAATGGATGGTCCGCAGGATAGTCGCAAGTAAACTCTGGACCGGTGCCAAAACCGTCGAGACCGATCCCGAAGCCATTGAAAATGCCGAGACCACAACCACCACCACCAGAAGTGAGGGCGATAAAACCTACGTCTCAAGCAACCAAATGCTCCTGCCCGGAAACCCGCATAGCACCGTCTCATCCGTCGTAGACTGGCAGATCAAAAACCACAAGGGCTTCATCCCCGCATTCATCTCTACCATCCGCCACGCCCCCGTCTTCAGCCAGCACGACCGCTGGAACGTCATCCGCGAGAACATTGAATCGCGCGCCGGCCCCCTACGAGAAGTCTGGCTCGTCTTGGGCGAAACAGACCCCATCATCATCGCCGACGAGATAACCGAGGACGCGCGCGCCGTCCTAGGCGAAGAAAACCTCCGCGTCAAGGTCCTCGACGGCGTCGGCCACGAAGTCGCCATCGAGCGCGCCGACGACATCGTCCGCGTCGTCCGCCGTATCGACGGCAAAGCCGAGGTCCGCGAAGTCAGAGAAGTAAGGGAAGAGGAGAGGCCGGAGCGCTACGAAAAGCCTGAGCGGCCGGAGAGGTCGGACAAGCCTGAAAGGGCGGAAAAGCCTGAAAAAGCGGAAAAGAGCGACAAGAAGGAGAAGAAGAGCTCGAGTCGGAGGAAGCACGGGGGGTCGCATGCTAGTTCTAGCACCAAGTAAGGGGTGTGTGTGCGTATCACTACTGTGCGTCCTGGTGGTGCCTTGAAATGTGATTACCCCCAAGAATCTAAATAAGTACATAAAAGATGAGAAATAAACACGAATAACGCATAACGATCTTCGATTGAGAAGTTAGAATGGCGTCATGAAGGACGGTCTATAAAGCATACATTTCACTGCATATGGCAGTAAATCTAGCTTCGTACATGGCAGCATTTAAATGCGTATAATACAACAAAGATCGGAGGCATAGCTATCAACCAAGCAAACGACGGATAAAAGGCCCACGCACTTGAATGAATCCAAAGAAATTTTACGCCTTGGGCTTCCCCTCAACAATCGCCAACTGCCGTCGTTCCTCCTCCTCCAGCTCCCCAGCCTCATAATACAAATCCTCCTCATCAATATCCGCATACCCAAACACACTCCTATAAAGTCGCTCGCCCAGCCCCTTCTTCTGCGCCATAGCCAACACCATGACAATGGGAAGGTGCCAGATACTCGCCCAGAACAGACCCCTCGCCGTCCCCTTATTCCCCTCAGCCTTCCAAAACTGCCAGGCCTTGAGCACCATCCAGCCATTGACTGCGCTGCTAGTAACTACGTAGCTCCAGTCGGTAACACCGCTGTACGACAAGCCTATGCAGATGGGAAACATGAGGATTGCGTATCTGAGCGCAACACGCCCGTTCATCGCGGGGTTAACCCAGGCCAGCATGCGATACCCCGCGTTGCGGTACTCGTCGCGGATAGACCAGCTCAGCGCGTTGAAGTGGGGAAACTGCCAGGCGTACAGGAGCGCGGCGCATAGCCAGCCGCCAGCAGAGCCCTCGCCGAATAGCAGTTCCTGCCATGTACCGTCGTGGGCGTACTGGTTCGCTGCCGCCGTCCAGCCCATCAACGGTGGGATTCCTCCGACCACAGCACCCACCCATGTGTTGAGGACGTGCATGCGCTTCATGGGCGTGTAGATGCCGGCGTAGAGGACGATGTTTGCTGCGCCGAGAAATGCCGTGGTGGGGTTGACGCCGTAGTATAGCGCGCCTGTGCCGAGGACGCCGCAGGCAATAGCGAACGCAATGGCCCCGCGCGGGCTGATGAGTTTCCGGACGAGCGGCCGGTTGCGTGTACGGCTCATTTTGGCGTCGTGCTCAGGCTCCATGAGCATGTTCAAGGCATTTGCCGAGGCTGAGCAGAGCGCTGTGCCCGATGTGAGGAAGAAGAGTGTGAGGGTTGAGAGCGAGGGTGTGGCGGTTGCGGCGGGGGCAAGCAGCCCGGGGACGGGATATAGAGAGTATGCGGCGGTAGCAGTGAGGACGACGAGGAAGGAGAGGCGGGGTTTCGAGAGCGAGAGGTAAGTGGTTAGGAGGCGCTTTAGAGATTGGTTCGGGAGACTCGAGGATATGTTTGCCAGTTTCGACGAGGCATCGTGAGGGATGGGATAGGCCGTCTCCGGGTCTTCCATTGCCTGCTCCTTTGCCTTTTTCCGCCGTCTATGTGGGAGGACTTCTTCTGCTGTGACTGCGGCATGTTCCTTGTTCGATTGCTGCCCATTTTCCGACCGTATTGAAACAATTGAACTCTGCAATTGATGTTTCGATGTCCAAAACGAGTCCTTTAATAACGGATTCGCCCGGAAATAGCCGTTGGCAAAGGTGTTGGTGTCTTTCCCGGCAGTCACAGCGCTCGCTCTATACGACGAAATCGACGAGAATGCCTGCCGTGACGGCGGCGGCGCTTTGGCAAGCCTCCGCCAGCATTGCAAGCATACTGATTTTGTATTCCGCACTGCAATTGGCCGGGGCAGTATTGGTCGGAAGCTCATGGCGGCATGGGAGTTGAGCTCCAGCGGACGGCCGGTTTGGAGGTCGATGATGAACTTTTGGGAAGGCACATGGACGCAATGCCAAGACCCCGCGGCACCAGCCACTCAGCCATCACCCATTAACATTGGCCACTGCAACACTTACTGACCATCTCGTTGCAAGCCGCATTCATCAGTCAGTTGTTGGTGTACCGAGCGATAGAGACTGTCAGATGAGAAATCACCGTGTTTTGCTTGTTACAGATGCCATGACCATCATACTATTATATCCAAATCCGGAAGCTTGTGCTCACTAGCTGGCTTACAAAACCTACAGCTTCAGGTCGTGTCACAATATGACGATTGATAGCAGTCTGCGGCTATGTTCTGAATGCCGCACAATTGTAAACTAGGCTGAATACAATTATATATTTTGCAGAGCCACCTTCTGGGTTTCGTCCACCAATGAATGCGCGTCAGCCTGCAGCAGACCTACCACTTCGAGTTTCGGCCCCCAGGACCACTATGAGGAGGCTGTGTAAGCCACAGGTAATGGCTCTGTGGCTTCCAGGACATCGTCCCTTTCTCCGCAGTCGCTGAACCGTCGTTCGCATCTTCACCCATCCAAATGGCCGAAGTCATTGGCATCGTTGCGTCGGCCATCACCATTGGCGCGAGTGCAGCTCAACTCTCACTTGCCCTGTTCGATGTAGCACACACAATCAAGAACGCCCCTAAGCAGATTGCGGAGATTGGTAGGTATTCCAACCCTCCACACATAGGACAACTCTCTGAACAAAAACAGCGGAGGAATTCTCCTTGCTTTCTGAGAGTCTCCAAACACTTGCAGATATCATTCGCACCAATCAAAACGTGTGCAAGCCAGCGCTTTATCAAAATACCCATACCATAATTTCACGGTACAAACAAGTCGATGCCGAAATCAAGAAGTTGATAGATACGCCCCGGAAACTGGCAGGACTCCAGTGGTACATCAACAAACCCAAAGCAAAGGGGCTTTTGAAAAAGGTTGAAGGCATCAAAACCGCCCTTATCTTGCAACTGAACATCATACGCCTTGCTAGAGAAGAGTTCACTCGTCCGTATGTCTCGTCATTTCGTCGCACGTTGAACATTCACTAACCTATGTAGTCAAACCGAAACTGGGCCCAGTATTTCAGTTGGACTTCCACCTAATTTCAATCGGTTTAGGAAAGTAGTAGAGAGTGCTGTTCAGGCCAACCGCAAAGTAGTAGAGAATGCGCAACAGGACGACAAGGATTCCGGTACCGGAAGACGAAAATACACTAATGCAGAATTAGATATATGGAAAGAGGGCTCTTTCGACACTGCAACATGGCTGTATCATCTAGTCTTCAGCCCCGACATGCCCGACGCATCTGAAGCAAATGCAAAGAGACATCGACTTCACCAAGCTTCTGTTGCTGATGAGTCCCATTCCTCCGAGGAGGATTCAACTTCGCATAAGCAAGAAGAAGATTCAGAAAAAAAGTCCATGATTGTATGGAACAAGCAAACTGAACCTAGCTTGGTTGTAGACAGACTTCTCTCCTCCTGGACTACGCTGTCATCTGATCAGATCACTCGTAGCGCAGCCAACCAAGACGGAAACGAATGGAGAGAAGATCTTTTGAAAAACATTGAACAGGCGAAAAAGGAACATGACTTATCTTTCGATCAGTGGGAGTTACAGAACGAGCCAGTGAGATCAGACGACGAAGACTTCAAGAGTATTGATGATGACTCCCTGAGCGGCGTCACTATGCCAACGTACAATTTCCACAGTAACACCAAGAATCACCGCAGCCGCAGTGTATCGAGACCGGGTGATGATGATGGTCCGTGGTCCTTCAAGTCTGGGGAGTCGCCGCTACGTCGCAATGTACAGCCTGATCGGCCCAATATTCGCATTGTCGACACTAGTACCGAACAAAGGCCAAAGCGGTTATCTCGTGAACACCGGGTGAGGTGGGAAGAAGACATGTCACCTCTCGAGCGCGCACGCGAGCGCGAACGCGAGCCCTTGCGCCGCGAAAGGTACTCGGGATACACAAGACCTTTGTATGCTGATAACGAAAGCATTACATCAAGAGTTCATACTATAGGCAGTGACCGAACTACTTCTACTAAGGGTAGACCTACAAGCAGTTTCTCCAGCGCAACCGCATCCAGGCACAATCCATTTGATCCGAAACCCAATCCCTGGCATCATCACTTTGAACGAGTGCCATCATGGCAGGAACCAGTCCCAGCATTTCAACAAGGGCCATCAAATCCTTTCAGCCATCCCATTGATCCTTGGGCTCATTGGTCCTCTGCCGCACCTCCCTATTATGCACCTCCTCCTCCTCCACCTGCTCCAGTACCACCGCCAGCTCCAACTGAATTCCATATGGATCCATCCTTCCAAGATACTTATACTTCTCCTCCCCCTAGCCCTCATGTTACTTCTCCCCGTCGTCCGCATTTTTCACGAGAAGAGCAGTCAAATGAAGCCGAAACAGCGGCGAAAGAGAACGCCATCGTGACTGCGATAGAGAAATTGCTAGAAAAACGAGGCCAGGACAACCAGTTGGATCCAAACGAACCACGCTTCTTGAAACTGATGGAACTCTTGACTGCACAACAAGAGCGTGAAGCACACAATGAACGCGAGCGAGCTAATGCAGCCATCGAAACTCAAATGAAATTAATGCAAGCAATGCATGACAAAGACAACGAGCGATTGAAGCAACTCGAAAATCTTGTTGAAGAGAAAAGGGGTGTAGAAGTGGCATTACAAACTATGTGGAAGGAAGAAGCTGAGAAGAAAGCTCAAGAAGCGAGAAATTCTGTCATGGAAGAGATGGCTGAGAGGCAAGCATTGGCAGCCAAAGCAAGAGATGCAGAGAGACGAACACAACAAGAGGCCGAAGCAAGGGCGGCTAAAGAGATAAAAAGACTTGAACGCAATCACCAAAAGGAAATCAAGCGTTATGAGGATCTGCTGCGAGGGTTTCAAGACCAACAACTGAAGGCAGAGCAGGATGCCCAACTACCGATACGCCGAACTCGCATTGCTGAAGGCAATCGTAGTGTTGATGTCACAGAGTACTCAACTGATAGGCGGAATCCTTTTTTCTCATCTTCGTCAAATCTAAGAAACCTTCAGTATGGATTTTCTCAGTTTGGGTCA